TTCTACACAGCTAATTGTAACCTCTATTCTTCTGCCAACTTCTCAGAGCACGACTTTATTAAAACAGGGGTTGGGTATGATTATTAAAACAACATCATTTAGGGGTCTGCTATGGAAGCACAAGAAAAACACATATATATATTAAAGCAAGAAATTTAAAGGCTGACTATAAATCTAGCTGGAACAACTCCGAGGGGCTTGCTCCCGTTGAAGCCAATGCCTCCAATCTGGCGACCTTTGTCACGCAGATTCCTGCAGATTCCTTCGGAGTGGGCGTGACAGGTTTTTAAAAAACGGTGACAAGAGGGAGCTCCTGCCTCCAGATGCCAAAGCCGCTGTCTTGGAGGACCCTCAGTAAGATCTAATTGATAGCTGCAAAGCCTTTTGAACTGCAAGGTCGGCAGTTCAAGCTCACCAGTCGCTCCTCGAGAACCCTGAAGAGGGTCTCTATGGGTCTGATCCGACTGGACAGCACTTAACAACAACAGCCCTCAGAGGAAATGGCCTCCAAGGAGAGGACAGAGGAGGGTCAGCGACATTCCAGCCAATATAAAGACTGAGAGGGGGCTGGGGAGAGAGACACACACCTGGGGCCATGGTGGGGGCCTCCTCTGCCAATTAGATTTTCCTACATCCTGTGTACTCAAGCCAACCCCTTCTCTCACCCAAGACCAGTCAGTGAACATTCTCTACCTCTCCCCCTCAGCAGGCATATCAGGCGTTCCCAGAATTTTGGCATCCGTTTTGATCTCTGGCAGTTCCCTGCCACTCTGAGTCTCACTTTGTCGTGTGAAAAAAATAGAACTTCCAACCCCACCCCGATTTTGAGACTCTGAAATATTTAACTAGGAGTTAATATATTTAACTAGGAGTTCTGGTAGCGTAGTGGTTACGAATCGGGCTGCGAACCTCAACGTCAGCAGTTCGAAACTACCAGCTGTTCCTCGGGAGACAGATGAGGCTTTCTGCTCCCGTAAAGATTTACAGCCTCGGAAACGGCTGCACCGCACATAACAACAACAACAGTTTTCTGGGGTGGGTGCAAAAGGACTGAGGGCACGAACGTCAGGCAGTCTTGGTGCTCAACTCTGTTGGGGCCCAACCTTCACCCACAATGCCCTTGAGAAACTTCATTTCCCGACTTGCAAAGAGAAGGCGGTGCCTGTTGGGTAACGAGGTCCTGGGCTGGCCGGCCTGAGGACTACGACTCCCGGCGTGCTTCGCGGGTCAAAGCAAAAAAGGTCCGGGATCCAGTAGACCCGGAAGTGGCTTGGTGCTCCGGCGTCAGAACGTGGGGGTAATGGTGAGTTTGGGTCTTAGCTCGTTCAGGGCCAGTAGCTGGGTTCTGCTTAGGACCGAGTCTTCGACACTCGGAACTAGAATTGCCTTCCCGCCGGCCCATTGTACCGATGAAAGCGCCGAGGCCTGGTATCCCTTGTCCAGCCTAGAAACTTGACTCCTTAGTCAGCCCTCAATACGTCTGTTGAATGAATGGGAAGTTTAGAGCATAGTCAAGCTGCGACTCTCCCCTCCCGCCCTCTCCCCTCGCATTCCTAGTGGAGAGTCATCTGAGTCCTTTCATTTCTCCAGGCCACGGGAACAGACCAGGTGGTGGGACTCGGCCTCGTCGCTGTTAGCCTGATCATCTTCACCTACTACACCATCTGGGTGATTCTCTTGGTACGTCTCCCCCACCCTCTATACCCTAACGCCCGACCCTATTAACGCTTTAAGAAGCTATTATGTGCCAGGTCCTGTACTAGGTATTTTACCCGCCTTAACCTGCCTTCATCTCCAGAACAGCATTATGAGGAAAATACTACTGGTGTCACTATTTTATAGATAGGGAAGCTGGGATACTAGAAGGGGTTAGCCCAAGGTAATGTGCTTAATCTCTACGCTGTAAAGTCTTACTATTCCTGAATTGCTTTGCCTTTGAAGAGAATTCTAGTCTTTCTGTTTATCCTGCTATCTCCTGAACTTGGCCAGTGCAAATGAAATTTTGTGAGGACTTTTGGGATTTTTATTAAGGAAAAATTTGTCAGTTATTGCTTAGAAAGTATAGTCTGTTTGGAAGTCAAAATCTTACAGAACTTGGTGTCCTTCCTAGAAAAATGTTAACAAAGAAGACATTGGCGCTCAGGCTGGGAATCTCAGAATTCCTTCTGTATTTCTTGTCCCTGCTAGGCTGTAAGGGCCCTAAGGCAGGTCCGTTTTGTTCACTGTCAGATCCCTAGCACCAACCCAGGGTGAGTGGCTTGGGTGTAGTCAATATACAAGTTCCCAATAAGCAACCATTAAGCAAATGAATGAAGGAAAGAAATCCAAATGTCTTCTTAAAAGCAAATGCTATTCCAGTTCCCACCTATTTGAACAGAGGAGTTGGGATGTTTGGACTTAGGTGGTTGAGGGGGCATAGGCAAGGCAAACGATGCTCATCAGAGCTCTGTCCTTGGTGCCAGCCATTCATCGACAGCCAGCATGTCATCCACAAGTATTTCCTGCCCCGAGCCTATGCTGTTGGCATTCCATTGGCGGTAGGACTCCTGTTGCTTCTGTTTGTGGGTAAGTCATTGCTCCTTCAATGACTGGGCAGGGTAGGCTCAAGGGCCCCCTTGACCTTCTCCCATCCCTGAAAATGCTTCGACGCTTTAGCACTCACTGTAAATCTACTTGAGGCCCCAAGTCTTCCCCTAGGGATTTTCTTTTTCCTCTTCAAGGATAGAAGTCCATGTGACCTCTCTGGTCTTCCTAATGCCCTGAGCTCATAGGACTCTAAAGAGGTCTCTACCTTTTAGCTACCTCCTCTATCACCATCACTCTGCTCACACCTCTATCACCTCTTACCCACTTGTCACTGTGGTTTGTAATTTGTACATATCTTTATCTCCTATGGTTTGGTGTTATGGACTTTCCAAAAGCCAAGATTATATCTTAATCATTAGTTTGTCCACAGCACCTGACTCAGGGTTTAGCACTGAGTTGGGGCCCAAGAAAGTGGTTTAGATGATTCAACACTTGGAATGACTGGATGATGGATGTTGAGTGAGCAGATGAGTGCATAGATAGATAGGTAGGTAGACGTGGGGGGGCGGGGTTGAATGAATGGGTAAAGGGATAGATGGGTAGTTCTTCTTCCCCCTGGAATTTCAAACACCAAATGAAGTGTCTTGCATTGCTATTTGTTGAGTGAATGTGAGTGGATTTGTGGCTTGATGGAATGACTAGAAAGATGATCAGGTAGGGTAGGTGCATGACCCTGTGCATGAGTCATTCTGCCATACCCTGCCCTAACCTTCTAAGCAGCCCCAAACTCACACCTATCTAGCTTGTGTGGTCTGTATGTTCCAGGATTGTTCATTACCTGTGTGATGCTGAAGAACCAGAAGGTGACGAAAAAGGTTCAGTGAAGACCCAGTGGGGAATGAGGTTGCCAGTCACTTCTCTGCTTCCCTCCAGGGCAGAGACATTGGGTGGGAGTCAGTAGCACCTGGTCCAGGCACTAAGGCCTCTCAAGCCTGGCTGCCCTGCAGTCTTGCCCATGAGATGGAGCTGTACAGGACTCACCCATGACTGACTGGCACCCATGTTCCTCTCCTGCTCACACTTCCAGAAGCCAGGAGGGAAGGGTTTCTGGAACTATCCTTCTCACCTACTTCTGGCCCAGAACCTGAAAGATGCTGGTTTTCTCTGCCTCATCTTCAGACTCCCTGTCATCTTTTCTTCTGGATTTTTGCTGCAGTTTCCCTTCTGTCACATGCTGAGTTGAACTTAGCAGGATCTGAGGGAGCATGTGATCTCTCCTCACCATGTCCTGCTCCCCTACAAAGGCAATTTTCTCTAGCCTGATGCAGCCCCAGGACTTACTGGATCTGGAAAGCCGTGGATAAGGGCTGAACGACCCTGGGGTCGTTGCCAGAGATCAGAGCTCATTAGATTGGCCACACGGGACCCCCAGACTGACCACTCCTCCTGGAGGCCCAGACCCCAGTAGTGGTCTGGTCAGGAGACTTTAACAATAAACATTGATGATACATTTGTCTCTGTGCCACTCTTGACCAGGGGACATGGGCTGCTGGAGAGGAACTTAGAACTGGCTCCCCTGCATTGGCTTCAGGTTAGAAGACCTTGGTTCATGCAGTAAGGGTGCTTCTAGACCAATCCTGTGTCAAACACTCGGGAAAGAGCAGGGATTGAGACAGATGTGTTTCCAGCCCGGTGGAGCACACAGCTGGAGAATCATTGCTGGGCAGTTGGCTTAAGGGCTTGAAGGAAACGCTTAGGACTCTATCCCCCAGGTGTCCAGGTGGAGGTCCTGGCAGAGCAGTCTGCCAGAGACCATATCAGCCCCCACTATCCTCCCTGTGTCCCCTCAGCAGCTAGCATGGATTAGCATTTCAGGGAGCCTCTAGCCAATCCCCTTAAAGCCCAAGCCTAACATCTATTGCTTGTACCCAGCATTGTCCCCAACAGCAAGGGCTGCTGAGTGAGACTAGAGCGGTTTCCACTGTGGTTGGGTTGACTGATATGGCAGGCCCCCAGCCCTGCCAGCATTCTCCCCTCCCACTGCCAAGCAACCTCCTGTCCCCAGGAATTTTCAATCATGGGTGTAGCCTCTGCCTCTCAGCAGGACACTCCCATTAGTTCAAGAATATACCCTGGTGTGGCCCTGTGAGTTAATGCACCAGACTGCAAAGCCATTTGAACTGCAAGGTCAGTGGTTTAAGCTCACCGGCTGCTCCTCAGAAACCCTCTACAGGGTCAATATGGGTCGGAATCGACTCAACGGCACTTAACAACAACAGCCCACTTGAGGGACTCTCCATCAACTCAATAATTTTACCCCTCAAAGAGCCCTAGTGATTCTGTAAGTAAGGCGTACTTTGCTAATAGCAAAGTCGGCAGTTTAAATCCACCAGCTACTCCATGGGAGGAAGATGAGGCTGTTTGCTCATCTTTACTTGGAAACCCTATACAGAGTCTAGGAGTTGGAATGGACTCAATTGCAGTGCATCTGATGTCTCCTCTACTTTCTGGGACCTCAGGACTCAGTGGCAGACTTTCTCACATACTCCCTGTGTGACCTCATCCCTACCTGGGCTCACTCTGCAAATGCATCCAGATTCTGATCTAACCTGACATTCCCAGTGATGTCTCCCTCAGTGGCGCCTATATTCATCCCGTCACAAGCTGAATTCACAGATTTGCCTCCTGTTTCTCTTCTACCCTGCCCCATCTTGTGACCAGCAGAAGCCTGGCAGACATTCCTGACCCTGGTTTCTCACATCCACATGACCCCAAATCCTGTCAGCTCTCCCTCCCCTTTTCTCTACCCCCCAACAATCACCTCCCGAAGTCACTGATGGCTTCATCACTGCTCTCAACCCTGCTGCTCCGGCCCTCCCCCCCAAAATCTGACCATGCATAACAGCCAATGTGACCTTTTAAAATGTCTGACACCCACACTTATGATGTTAATGAGGCATGATTGGTGTAGGGTGTATCTTGAGATAGTCAAAAGAGAAGAGCAATGCTGAGCCACATAAAGATTGCCCAGGAGAAGAAGCTCAGAAGAGACGAGGACCTCTCTCCAGAGTCAACACCTTAAATTTGAACTTCTAGCCTCCTAAGATGAGCTCTGGTAGCGTAGTGGTTACAAATCGGGCTGCGAACCGCAAGGTCAGCAGTTCGAAACTACCAGCCACTCCGTGGGAGAAAGAGGAGGCTTTCTGCTCCCTTAAAGAATTTACAGCCTCGGAAACCCTGTTCAGGGTCGCTGTGGGTCGGAACCGACTCGACAGCACTTAACAACAAAGATGAAAGAAAATAAATTTGTGTCTGTTTAAACCACAGCTGGGGTATTTCTGTTAACAGCAGCACTAGATAACTTATACATAATTCACCTCTGGGTTCCCATCCCCTCTGCTTACCTGCTTACCGCACCTACGAGTCTCTGAAAACTTCCTTCACTCCAGCCACACAGGTGGGCCTTTGTATATCCTATTCATTCATTCGAAAAGTGTATACTTACTAAGTACCAGTTTTGTGCTAGGTATTCAGCCAAGAAATGAGAAAGATGTAGTTCCTGCTCTTGCGACCCTCATATTCTGGGGAAGACGTAAGTGTTAAGGATGAAAAAAATGAAACAAAGTGATGTGATTAAGAATGAGATTTGGCCCATTCATTGCTGGTGGGAATGTAAGATATGGTGCAGCTGTTGTGGAAAACAGTTGGCAGATCCTCAAAAAATTAAAATTACCATATGACCCAGCAATCCTAGGTATAACTAAATTATACACCAGTATTGCAGCATTATACAATAGTTAAATTATGGAAACAACCTAAGTATCCATCAATAGCTGAATGAATATTCAGACTGGCATATTGTTCAGCCATAAAGAAATGAAATTCTGATACATGTTACAATATGGGTGAAGCTTGAAAACACGATGAGCAAAATAATCACAAAATAGACACATACGAAAGAAAGGGATCCTGGTGTGGTGCTGTGGGATCAAGCACTGGACTGCAAAGTTGATTTGAAGTGCAAAGTCAGCAGTTCAAATTCACCAGCCGCTCATTGGGAACCCTATATAGGGTTGCTATGAGTCCAAACTGACTTGAAGACACTTCACAACATAAATATTAGACAATGCATAAAAACAAAAATTAATTACTGGTAACCAGGGACTAGGGGTTAGGAGTGGTATGGCGAATTATTATTTAAGGGGTTCTTTTCCTGGTGTGATGCTGTTGGCTAATGTGCCAGACTGCAAAGTCGTTTGAGCTGCAAGGTTGGCAGTTCAAGCTCACCAGCTGCTCCTTGGAAACCCTATACAGGTTTGCTATGGGTTGGAACTGATTCGATGGCACTTAACAACAACAAGAAGTTTCTGTTTAAAGAGTCCTGGCAGTACAGTGAATAAAGTGGTAGGTTGCTTGCAAAAGGTTCAGCAGTTTAAACCCATGAGACATTCAGAGGGAGAAAAATGTGGCAAGTCTACTCCCATAAAGATTTACAGCAATGGAAACCCTCTGGGGCAATTCTGCTCTTATTGGGTCATAATCAAATGGGTTTGGCTTTGGTCTTAAGTTTCTGTTTATGGGATGGAAAACAATTGAAAATGAATAGTAATGATGGCTGCACAACATGGTGAATGTAATTTGTAGTTAGCTGCCCTCAAGTCAGTCCCCTATGCATTGTGTTACAGGGTAGTATTATTACTCCATAGGGCTTTCTTATGTTCCCAGCTCCCTGAATCTTCTTTGTTGTAATCTTTATGGAAGAAGTTCATGAGACCTTGAATTGGTGGTGCCGCTGAGTGGGCTTGAATCATCAACCTTTTGCTTACCATCTGATGGCAAACCTCTGTTGCCACCCAGGCTCCTGTGTGAAATATGTGTCACTGCATTGTACATTGAAAAATGGTTGGAAGTGGCAAACATTTTGTTACATGTATGTTACCACAATGAAAAAAAAAAAGAGTGAGGGTCCAGGGCTCTGTCTGTGGAGGTGACAAGAAGGAATTTCAAACAGAGGGAATAGCAAATGCAAAAGTCCTGAAGTGTGAAATAGTTTGGTGTCTGAGGAATCCAGGGCTGGGTGTGAGGTGTCACAAGTGTGGTGGGAAATGGGACTGAGGAATGGACAGAACCTGGGATCACGGCAGGAGTTTGGATTTTGTTTTGGTGCCGTGCGAAGCCACTGGAGGCTTAAAGCAGGAGAGTGACATCATCTGAGTTTTGCTTTTAAATCATCACTCTGGCAGCTGTGACCCTCCTTACCACTGAATTGCCAGCGCCCACCATAGCCCCTGGTCCATAGTGAGTGTTCAAGAAATACACGTTGAATACATGCATGCCCCTGACTTGCTGTGTGACCTGGGTTACTTCTGTCTCTGGACCTTAGTTTGAGTCGGTAGGAATTTCATATGGGGCTGGATTTAGGCTACTCTGCCTCCCCCTGCGGACCCAGTGACCTAAGCCCCAGAGAAGCAAATGGAGGGGCCTACCTCAGAAGGCCCTAGTCAATGCCCGGCGGCCCCGCCCCACCATGGACAGCAGTCCGAAGGAAGGATGCTGCAGCCCTGGGGGCGGGACCCGAGGCTATTGCCGGCGCCCTCCCCGCGGATTGGGTGCAGCCGTGACCGACACCGTGCGATTGGCCGGTCAGGAAACAGGGGCGGGGCCTGATGCTGCAGCTGGGTAGCAGGGATAGCAGCCAGAGCGTGGGAAGCTGCTGTGAAGGTGATGGCTGTGGCGAGCCCGTGTACCTGCGAGGTAGGTGAGGACCGGAGAGTGGAACGAAGGGAAGGGTTGGTTGGGGGGGCAGGAGCCGGCCCACCCCTCAGCTAGTGGCGCGGACACTCCATCCAAGCCAGGGAAAGGGGTCCTGCTCTGGAGTAGGACACGCCCATTTGGGGCTGCAGGTATGAAGTTGGGGGCAACAGGGGTGGTGTGGGGAAGGGATCTAGCGGATATTCCCCAATAACTTCCTCAATTTCCTCATTGGGAAAATGGAGATGATAATAAAAGTCCCTGGCTGTTAGAAGGTGGAGCTCACAGACAGTGCTGGGCACATGGTGGGTGCCCTCTGCTACTAATAGCTCAACCGGTATGAATTTAGCCTCGTGCTTACTGGCCTGGCACATATAGCAACTCTGCATAGACAAGTGGAAGAGATGACTGAATCAACAGAACCAAAGCTCTAACTAGCAAGGGTTCCTGTATAGCACAGGGCTTAAACTCAACAATAACGCCCCTTATACCTGCCGTGAAGGAGCTGGCATAGTCCCCATTATACAGATGAGAAAATGAGGTTTAATGACTAAAGTCACACAGCTGCTAAGAGGCTGGTCAGTCTTGGACAGATTGAAAGCAGAGCACATGTTCTGCCTACAGATAATGATACTGCTGGCAATAACCATGCCTCTATTTTGGGTTCTGAATGCATGCCAGGCACTCAGTTGCCCTTTACAACACCTTATCAGGTTGGTACTGGCATTATCCCTTTTGTACAGTTGGGAAAACTGAGACAGAGAGAACTGAGGGGAAGGGCTACAAGTAGTAGAGGGAGGATTTGAACCTGGGCTGTCCAGAGCCTCCTGGGCCTTACTTCCTATCCCTCCTTCCACCAGGTCCTGGCCTACTCCCCAGAAGCTGGATGCAGAGCAAGCACCAGTCAACGTGGGCTCCTCTGGCGATTGCGAGACAAGCAGTCTCGCCTAGGCCTGTTTGAAATTGGTCCAGGCCATGAACTGCATGGGTTGATGTGCATGATGCAGGCAGGGCTATGGGCTGCCATCCAGGTCACCATGGACCAACCACCTACTGTGAGTAGCCAATCTGTTCCATGCAACCCACAGCACCGATGGCAAGACAGGGCTGATGCTCTGTCCTACTAAAACGCTGAGCTGGGGATCAAAGAACTATCAAGAAGAGGGGACAGTGCCAGGTACATGTAGAGAGGAGCATTCTGGGGTGGGGCTGAGGCCAGAAGCCAAAAAGCCCAGAGTGTGTTTGTACTTATTAAGAAACCCTGATCCAGCAGGTTGCCATATGACACTAAATGGGTCTCTCTCCCTATCTGGGCCTCTGTTTTCCTCTGTATAATGGGGGTGGAGCTGTGTGCTTCTTGGTCTCTGAGGTTGTCCCAGTTCCTTCAGGCTGTATGGTTGAGTGGGACCCATTCCCACCCTGCCAGCTTCACCCCTCTTTCCTGGAGTTTAGACTAGGGCCAGGCTGGTTTAGCAGAAAGGGTCACTCAAATGCAAGCTCAACCGGACTGAGTGAGTGTGTGTTGTGCACTGGTACACATTGTGACTATATATCCAGCATAGGGACCTGAAAGTCCAGGGAAATGAGGACCAGAGGGAAATGAATAAACCCCATCAACTGCTGAAAAGTTTCTATGTCTTTCCAGTACCCTTGGGATGGAATCTTGGCTCCTCAGCATAGCCTCAAGAACCTGTTAGCTCAAGCCCAAGGGCCAGCTGACCAGCCTCCTCCACATTCTATCCCTCTCTTCAGTCATTAGGGCCCTCTTTCCCTTCCTGGTGACCACCAACACTGTTGCTATAGGCATGAGCACCCTGAGCCTTCTCTCTATCACCCTTCAAATTTCAGTTTAGAGGTCAACTCCCCTAGGAAGCTGCCTCTGGGTTAGGCAGTTCTGTTTACTTTAGGGTCATCTCCTTGTACTAGGATGGCATCTGGCTTCATTTGGCCAGTGTGTATATCTTGGGGGAGGGTAAGGATGGGGTGCTGGGTGAAACATACTCAAGCCCTGGGAGGGCCAGCAGCTGGTCTGCCCATCTCAGGGCCCCATAGCAGATCTATGTCTATTTGCTGAAGAAATCAAATTGGGGAAAGAGAGCGAGGCCAGGTGCCGACTTGTCTCCTCCCCACCTAGCCAAATGATCGAAGATCCTGGGGCAGTCAGTGGGAGGCTGAGACTTCTTGCCCCTCCATCCCTCCCTGCAGGGACCACTCAATGAGGAGGATTTTTCGGAAGTCCTGACCCAGATTCATGAGGTAGGAAGCTCATGACTCTTGCACCTTGCACGGGAGGGGGCGTACCTGCCTTTCCTCTCTCTCCTCAATTTCCCAATCTGTACAATGGTAATGGTAGCTTGCCGCAGTGTCTTGCTAGAAAGGTGTGGTCACCCAAACCCTCCAGACCAGGGCTAACTGCACATACTTGGTCCTCTCCAATGTTCTTGTGGCTTCTCCCTCTCCCCTACAGGGCTTTGAGCTGGGCACCCTGGCGGGCCCAGCCTTCTCCAAGCTGCGCAGCTCCCTGGGCTTGGTGGAGGAGGACTATCAGACTGCTCTGGGTCCTGGTGGCCCTTATCTGCAATTCCTCAGCACCTCTAGGAGCAAGGCTAGCTTCTTCCTCTCGTAAGCAAGCAAGCAAGAGGGAAGGGTTGGTGGTGGCTGACAGCTTTCTGAGGGGTGGGGGAGACTTCTTAGCAAGAGAGATAGCACCCAGGCCAGATGGAGGTCTGATGGGGACAGGAAAGGCTGAGAACCAGAGGCTCAGGAGTGCGATGGGAAGATGGATGCCTCCAACCCTCTCCCAGCCCTGAAGAGGAAAATGGATAGACAAGTGGGAGCAGGTGCCCAGTGCGGTCGCTCCAGCTTGTACTGGGTGGTGTCCTCTCCCTCCCGCCTCACAGCCATGACCAGCGCTTTTTCCTGAAGACACAACGGCGCCGGGAGGTGCAGGCACTGCTCGCCCATCTGCCCCAGTACATGCAGCACTTGCATAGGCACCCACACTCGCTGCTCGCACGGTTGCTGGGTACGACCTGGAAAGAGGGGTACAAGGGTTAGAAAAGGGCGAGGAGGAGAGATAGCCAGGGAGTGGAGCAGTTCCAGGCCTGGGGGACTGACGGGGATGGGAGGGGTGGGGAGGCAGGAGGGCAGGAGGTAGAAGGAAAAGTACCAGAAGACCAAATGGTTGGTTTTGTGCAGGGGGGGGTGGGGGGTGCAGATCTAGAGGCTGGATGTTCATGGGGAATTGGGTGTGGCCTATGGGTTGGGGGCGGACCCAGGACCCTTATTGAAAGAGGTTTCTTGAAGGCCGGTCTGGAGTCTGGGCCGGACTGGGCGAGGTCTGAATTGGGTGGGATCTGTGGACGGGGCAGGTCGGGAGGCGGGGCCCTGGGTGGCGAGGCATCTTTGATTCAAAGTCACTATCCAAGGCTGAGGGTGGATTTGGAGACTGGGTCTGGAAGGGCATGTTTCAGTGAGTTATGCCCTAGAGCTGGGCCAGTGGCTGTAGGGTTTGGACCAGGGACTGGCTCACTCTTCTTTTTTAGGAATGCACAGCCTGCGAGTGGCCCAGGGGAAGAAGGTGAGTGAAGCCAAGATGAGAGTCCCGGCTGGGGAGGGGGCAGTTGGAGGTGGAAATACTGGCCTCCTCACTCTCCATCCCCGCCCCCAGAAATACTTCATCATCATGCAGAGCATCTTCTACCCCGCGGGCCGCATCTCTGAGAGGTGAGTCTCAGGGCAGTGCCTCACCCGGAATTTGCCACCTGACGCACGCCCATGCCCATGCATCTTTTGAGCGCTCAGTATACTAGGAACTGTGTTTAGTCAGTTATATGATCTCCTTTACTCCCAGAAGGAGTCCTGGTGTGGCGCTGTGTGTTAATGCGCCAGACTGCAAAGCCGTTTGAACTGCAAGGTCGGCAGTTCAAGCTCACCAGCTGCTCCTCAGAAACCTTCTACAGGGTTGCTATGGGTTGGAATCGACCCAACGGCACTTAACAACAACAACGACAACTCCCAGAACAACTCAGGGGGGGGTTGTTGTGGACCCTATAGGACAGAACAGAACTGCCCCATAGGGTTTCCAATGCCAAAATCTTTATGGAAGCAGACTCATCTTCTGTGGATGGCTTCCAACTGAGGATGTTTGGTTAGCAGTGGCATACTTAGCTATTGCACCACAAGGTTGCTACCAGTCCTGAAAAACTGAGCAAGAGGAGACCCACACAACTAGGTGAAGGAACAGGATTCAAACCCAGCCTCTCTTGACTGCACATTGCTAACTGTGCTTTCCAGTGGTAACTCTGCAACCCCTTCCCCCATCCCCAATTGGCTTCCTTCAAACCCTCCTGGTGGATCCCTGCGTCTGGGACGCCCCCACAGGATGACAAGATGTTGCCTTGGCTGGGCTTTCAAAAGCCTGAATCTCAGTCTCTGTTTTGGCCCTTATGGGGTCAGAGAAATCCTCTGAGCTTCCGTTTCTTCATGTTTAACATGGGAACAATAATAGAAGGGGGTTGTGCTGAAGATTAGAACTGATGTATGTAATGGGTTTAGTGTACACCAAAACAGTCTTTTTTTTCCCTGTGTCTGAATTCTGCCCCTGCGTCTGACTTCTGTTCTGCCACTCAGGTATGACATCAAGGGCTGTGAAGTGAGCCGCTGGGTAGAGCCAGCCCCAGAGGGCAGCTCCCTTGTCCTGGTGCTGAAGGACCTCAACTTTCAGGGAAAGACCATGGACCTAGGTGAGCTACCCTGCCGCCACTGCCTGCTCTTCCTCCATTCAGAGTGAAGTTCAGAAGGGTGGTCCTGGCTCTGCCTTCTGTCCTGGTGGTCAAGAGCTTAGAATCAGGAAGAGCAGCTCCACACTTACTAGCTAGGCAACTATGGCAAATGATAGGTGAGTTTCCTCATCTGTGAAATGGGGGCCTTAATGGCTCTGCCCTCCTGGGACAGATGCGTGTGTGGCCCTCAGCACTGTGCCTGGCACATAGTGGGCACTCAGGTGGAGGGACTGATGTTTCAGCAGGACCCCAGAGGAGCTGGCTCCTCCGTCAGATGGAACTGGACACTGCCTTCCTCCGGGAGCTCAACGTGCTGGATTACAGCCTCCTGATGGCCTTCCAGGGTCTCCATGATGACGAGAGAGACCCAGGCAGCAGCCTCATGTTCCGCACTGCCAGGTAAGTGTGAGATGATGAGACATGGAAGGACCACAGGGGAGGTGGGGAAATACCTCATAGGCAAAGTCTTGAAGACTGGAAAGTGCAGAACACTTCTGTGTCCACATGTGTGTGTGCGTACATAGAGTGTTGGGCTGGAAAAGACTGGCTGGCATAAGTGGGCCACAGCAGGAAACAGAACCAGTGAGGTCCAGTGGGCAAAGTTTCAGGAGCTGATTTGAAGAATCTGCCCATTTTCCAGCAGGGATGTAGAGCCACTGAAGTGGCTTAGAAAGAGCCCTTGCCTCTTAATGCAGCCATTCCTTTTCTAGGACCCTAGCTGAGAACCCTGAGATCATCATCATGTTATCCTCAACTATCTCTCTTTTCATGCTGACACAAGCCTCTTTCCCAATTCTGAGAAGTAAAAACTGAGGCTCAGAGAGAAAAGTGAAGTTGCTCATGTTTTGGTGTTGTGTTAGTACCATCGAATCAGTTCTGACTCACAGTGACCCTGTATAGGGTTTCTGAGGAGTGACTGGTGGGTTTGAACTGCCAGCCTTGTGGTTAGCAGTCCAGTGCTTATCTTACAGTGCCATACCAGGACTCCTTCTCATGTTAGCACTCATTTTAATATATTACTATGATTCTCTAAGGGCCACCCTGAACAGAATTACACAGGAGTTAAGACAGACACTCTAAGAAAAGAATCCCATTTATCAGAAGTGAAAGATGGGGTTACTTCACCGAGCTCTCCATCCTGCCACCCTGGGAAAGACCTTGAGATGGGTGACGGCCTGGTGGGATCTACAGTGATGGCTCCTCAGGCAGCCTAGGCTGGGCATGCTGGTGGATTGGTAAAATGTCAGTCACAGGAGGGCTGAATCAAGTCTGTCCATCCAAGCTAAGTCAGCATCTCCTCTGTCCTCTACCCCAAGGCTGGTGCTTACATCAGCGTTGTCATTTGGCCACTGTGCACTGATTCAATAGGGTGGTTATAAACATACTGTAATATATTAGTAAATAGTCACTGCTGCATCCCCACCCCACCCCCACCCTAGTTCCCAGCCCCTTGCTCAGAACCAATCCTGCCCTCTGTTAGCTAGCTAGCTGGTTAATACCTGCAGGGCAGAGTACCAAGGTTCTGCCCCTACTCTCAGACCCACAGACCACTAGGGTCTGATTGGTCAGTGCTTGGAAGTATTTGTCTCTCATTAGCTTACTTTCCCCCAAGACCTGAGTAAAGATCTTGCCTTCAAGTTGATTCTAACTCATGGTACCCTCATGTGTTTCTCCATAGAGTTTTCAATGGACTGCTCACTGGAGAGTCAGCAGTTCAAATCCACCAGCTGCTCCACAGGAGAAAGATGAGTTTTTCTGCTTCCTTAAAGATTTACAATTTTGGAAACCCTATACAGGATGAGTGAGAATCTTACCAAAGAAGCCTTGATGGCATAGTGGGTTACATGTTGGGATGCTAACTAAAAAGCTATCAGTTTGAATCCTTGGGAGAAAGATGAGGCTTTCTATTCCTATAAAGATTTATATCCTCGGAAACCCTATACAGGTCGCTATGAGTCAGAACCAACTCAAGGGCACCTAACATCAACAACAATCTCACACCTGCAAAAGAAGTGCTTGCTAGACCACTAACCTAAACTCATCCAGCGGTGCTGCAAAAGAAAGGCCTGGCAATCTGCTTCCATAAAGATTACAGCCAAGGAAACTCTATGGAGCGGTTTTACTCTGTGACACATGGGGTTGCCATAAATCAGAATGGACTCAACAGCAAATGGATTATTCTTATGGAAGTAGATTGCCAAGCATTTCTTCTCAGCAGCACAGAGTGAATTAGAACCCCCAGCCTTTTGGTTAGTTGTGGCAGTGGTGTGCTGTGGAGTCGGTTCCGACTCATGGCGACTCGGCTTAGGGTTTCTGAGGCTGTAAATCTTTATGGGAGCAGAAAGCCTCATCTTTCTCCTGTGGAGCAGCTGGTGATTTCAAGCTACTAACCTTGAGATTAGCAGTTCAACTCTTAACACTACCAGAGCTCCTTTTGGGTTAGTAGTTAGTTGCAATTCACTTGCACCATCCCAGTAAAGCGGGAATAAAGCCCCTCAGCCACTCCTCACTGGAGAACAATGTTAGGGAATCTAGCTTGCTTCTGGCTGGGCCTGGGGGTTTCAGCCAAAAGCATCTTCTGATTTGGGATTCTTTGAGGTGAAAAGATACTTAACATTTATAAACTGGGATTGATTGGGCTTTGTTCTTAATCCTTCAGCTGTGGTACAAATGATCCCATCCAAAAGTTTCGAAAATACTCAAATAAGGGACTTGTCCAAACCTAAACACATTAAGTGCAGACCAAGGTCTCGCTGACTCAAATGCTCTAGCCAATTGGATGTAATGTAATATTAAATCCTCTAGTAATCTTGTTTCTTCAAAGATAATTAGCTTTAAAAAATATTTTTATCTAACCTAACATATCCAAAATTTTATCATTTCAACATGTAGTCAATTGAAACATTTATGAGATATTCTATTCTTTTCTCATACTGTCTGTGAAATACACAGTGTGTTTACACTTACAGTACATCTCAAATGGGACTTACCACATTTCAAATGCTCAAGTGGCACGCATTGCATAGCCTAGCTCTAGACCATCAACTAAGCTAGTTTATCTGAAGAACAGGATCTGCATGGCATCCTGCCTGAGGGCCCCTTGAGGAAGTGGCAGCTTCACCCCCCTGTCTGCCCCCAGGTCTGCGCAGGGAACACTGAACCCAGAGGAGCCTGGAGCTCAGAATCGCCGGCTGCTGCCAGACGCCCCCAACGCCTTACACATACTTGATGGGCCTGAGCAACGCTATTTCCTGGGCCTAGTAGATCTTGCCACGGTCTACGGGCTCCGCAAGCATCTGGAGCATCTATGGAAGACACTACGCTACCCGGGCCGGACCTTCTCCACCGTCAGCCCGACTTGCTATGCCCGTCGCCTCTGCCAGTGGGTGGAGACACACACCGAGTGACCAGAGCCTGGCCACACTCTCCCCATCTGGAAAATGGGAGCACACCAGGAGCACTGGTTCTAAGCGTGGGGCGGAGAACGGGTTGTGCTCCCTTTGCTGGCTCTCCCTCATCATGGCCACCTGAGGGCAGCATTCCATAACTAATGCTATAGCAATAGTCCCCCATTTTTGGGGTAATGCTGTGCCGGGTGTGAATTTATCTATATTAACTCATTTAACCCTCAATAAATGCTACTATTATTCTCTTTTTACAGACCATGAAATGGAGGCTCAGGAATTGAAGGAACTGAGCAAGATGAGTCAGCAATAAATGCTGGAGCCAGAACTCAAACCCAGACCTTTTGAATTCAGGAGCCTATATTCTTAACCATCAGACCCCAAAACCCCGTCCTCATGATCTGGGAAAAAGGAGTGTCCAGAGGCTCCAACCTCCCTGTTCTGAAGAGGAAATTGAGGCTCAGAGACTTTAAGGGACTTATCCAAGGGTAAGTATCAAGCCAACCCAGAACCTAGGCCTCCTGATCTCCTGCCCCTGGCTTATTCCCTCTTCTGGCTTGCCCCACCCCCCTTCACTCATTCCAGCTCTAGGGTGTGGGGTTGGGGGAGGAAGAGTCCTGGGGCTCTGGAAAGCATTCTGTTGGTGTCCACTTGATCTTAAGTAAATGGTGCTGATCTCACCCTCTGGTCTACCCACAGGAGCCTCATTTTTCTCATCTGTGAAATGGGGATAGAGGTTTGTGGTCAGACCAAGGGCCTAACTACACAGACATTACATGAAGCAGAAGCATAAAGCCTGCGGAGCCCCTGAACATTTTTTCTCCTTTCTCTAGGAAACTCCTGCCTGGCATCTGACCCGGATCCAGTCCAACCACCTAAGCAGGCTATTCCTCCAGAGCTACTTGGGGTCCTGGTTGTGTGACCAGGGCAAGGTGCTAAACTTCTCTGTGCCTCAGTAGTCTGGTCTGTAAAATGGAAAAGATTAAATATATAATTATGCACCTGCCACGTGACAGGCTCTCTACAGGGCAGTGGTGACATGGGGTGCAACAACATGGACAGGTCCTGCCTTCTCAGAACTTAGGGCCTGTGGTGACAGAAATGACTCACAATGACAATTGTTTGATGGGTGGTATGGCATTGTAGGATAAGCACTGACTACCAGCCATGAGGTTGGTGGTTCAGACTCACCAGCTGTTCTCAGAAACCCTATGCAGTGTCTCTATGAGTCAGAACCAACTCGACTACATACAACAACAACAACAACATTAGGGAAAGGAGGTCTGGTGGCACAGTGGGTTAACCACAAGATTAGTGGTTCAAACCCACTGTCTACTCCCATAAAGATTTACAGCCTCTGAAAATCTGTCCTACAGGATTCAAAATTGGCTCACTGGCAGTGGGCTTTGGCTTGATTTATTGGGGAAAGTGACTCTTCCTACTAAACTGAGACCAATCAGAGACACACTCCCTGGGAGTGGGGTGGGAGGGTGGAGCAAGCAGTGCAGTCAAGGCCTGGGGTGGGATAGCTTGGTATCAGAGAGAAGAAAAGATTTCATTTTGGCCTGCGTGGATTGGGAGGGGATAGAGAGGTATGGGTTGGGCTGTGTGAACTGAGAGCTGCCCCCACTCCCCAACTCAGGAACTTGAAAAAACCACTCAGTCACATTACATGCCCCCAAAGGAAACCGGCCAATAGGAAGGGAGTGGACAAGCAAGACTTATGCTGAGGGCCACTGGAATTTCCTCTGTCTGAGTGACCTCTCTGAGCTGAGCTGACACAAGCCATGGGGAATTTCTTGTTTTGGCTCAACAGGATGTTGGAACACCAAGTGTGTTAAATTCATCTCTCCGTGTGGTAGTTTCTGTGGAAACTTTGGGGTGGCGTTTGGATAGGACAGGCTGAGTCACCTACAGTGGGACTACACAGACCTAGTAAAGACTGCTGGCTTTTCTAACTTGCTCCTTCAACAGACTTTACCCCAAACCAAACCCACTGTCACTGACTGGGTTCCAACTCACGGCAACTCTGCCTAGGGTTTCTGAGACTGCAAATCCTATGGGAGCAGACAGCCTCATTTTTCTCCTGTGGAGTTGCTGATGGGTTTGAACTGCCAACCTTGCAGTTAGCGGTCCAATGCTTACGCTGTGATGTCATCAGAGCTGTAGCGCTTAATGCCAAGGAGAACTTGTAGTGCAGTGGGTTAAGCGTTGGGCATCTAACTCCAACTCCGCTCCTCAGGGAACGATGAGGCTAGTTCCATACAAATGTATAACCTTGGGAACTCTGTGGAGCAGTTCTCCTGTCCTGTAGGTCATTATGAGTTGGAATTGACTCAACAGCGGTGGCCTTTGATGTGTGCCAAGCACTGTGCAGGTATTGGAGATGCCTGTGAGGGCATAGTTGGTCTGTCTTTCCAAGTGGAACATCGAGTCTAAAAGTAGGTAGGTAGATCATGAACAAGGAAACCAGTTAACATATAGGGTGATTTCAGAGTGATGAAGAAAATAAAAGAGAATGCAGTGTTGGATAGGATTGTTGGTGAGAGCCTTTTTCTTCTGTTTGTGTGTATGTGTGTGTGTGAATTGGGTAAAGCGTTACAGAGCAGATCAGTTTTCCATTGAACAATTCATACACATTTTGTTTCATCTCATTGATTGCAGTCACCTCAATGTCACATCACTTACCTCACTTTCTCCCTGGGTTTCTTGTTTCCATTTCGCCTCCTTTCCTCACCCTTTTGAATTTTGTTCTTGGGTAAATGCTGCCCTTTTGATCTCAAATGGTTGACTATTCTAAGGAGTACTACCTCCCTGGTGTTATTGTTCCCCTTAGAGACCCATCTACTGTTGGACTGAAATTTGAGCCACAGGGATAGTGACAGCCTCTTGGAGGAGCTGATGTGTGAGCTGACCACTGAGTGGCAAGAAGGTACAGCCATGTGACTAGAGCGGTTCAAGAAGAGGAAACAGTAGGTGTAAAGGTCCTGAGGTGTAAAGGAATTCAGTATACTTCAGGGGTCAGAAGAACAGCCAGAGTGGATGGAAGGTGACTGAGAGGAGGGCAGGGGTCAGACTGTAGGGTTTTGTAGGCTGAGGTAAGACGTGTGGGGGCTTTGTGTGTTTTTTGTTTTTAACATTTTATTGCATTTTAGGTGAAAGTTTGCACAGGAAATTAGATACCTGTTTAATCATTTAAAAAAACATTTAATTGTGAATTGAGTGAAGGTTTACAGAACAGATCATCAGTTTTACATCCAACAAATCCTATACTTTGCTTCCTCTCACTGATTGCAGTCCCCTCAATTAACATCAATTATCCCACTTCCTGCCTGTGTTTCTTATTTCCATTCGTGCTTCTTTGCCAGCTTTCTGAATGTTGTCCTTAGATAAATGCTGCCCTTTTGATCTTGAATGGTTGACCATTCTATGTATGGTGTGCATACCTCACTAGTGGTGTTGTCCCCCCATACCACTGTCTACTGCTTGGTTGAAAATTAAGCCACAAGGTGACTTCAGTTCCAGACTTGAAGGGTGACCAATGGCCATAGTCTATCTGACCATAAGTATACCTGTTTGTTTGTTTTTTATAATTTTGATTTTTGTTCCACGTTTTCTCCCACTTTATCCAGGACCTTCTACTGTGATCCCTTTCAGAGCAGTTAGTAGTGGCAGCCGGGCACCATCTAGTTCTTTTGATCTCAGAGTCGTGGAGACTGATGTTCATGTGGTCCATTAGTTCATTGGACTAATTGTTCCAACAAACTTCAACTGTCATCACTTTTTATTTTCTCTGGACAGAGAAAGACCAATAGCTGCACCTGGATACTCAGGAGCTTTTAAGAACCCAGTTGCTACTTACTAAAGTAGGATGTAGAACATTGTCTTTGTGGAGCATGTTATTCCAATTGATCATGGTGTTCCCTGAGACTACGGTCTTCGGCTTCCAGGCCCAGCAACTCATTCTCTCAAGGTGCTGGGTAATGTCTAAGAGTTTTTTGTAACTTTGCCTCCTGGATGCTTCATCACATTCATGGGATGTTTGTAGCAAAGACAAATACCTGTGGACAAAAAAAAAAACAACCTATGGACAAATATCATCTGTCAAACCTTTATATGGAGTCCTGGTGTAGCACTGTAGGATAAGCACTGAACTGCTAACAACAGAGTCAGCTGTTCAAATTCACCAGTCACTTCTTGGAAACCCTATACAGGATTACAATGCCCAGAGGCACCCAACTTAACTAAAACCTTTATGAATCTGTTGATATACTTTACTCTCCCCTCTATACCCATTCAGTCTGTGTATCTATCCATGTATCTACCCATAGGTCAGTTCTATTTAACAATTTTTATGCAAATTGTTCAATGACACTGGTTAGTTTCCACAGTATGTTAGCATTCTTCTTACTTCCCTTCTGATTGTTCTGTTTTCATTGATCTACTTCCCTTCACCTCCTTGCTGTCTCATCTTTACTTTTGGGAAAATGTTGGCCATTTAGTCTCATATAGTTGATTGTTTACGGGAATACATTCTTCACAGGTGACTTTATTTTATAGACCTGGTGTGGCGTTGTAGGGTTAGCACTGGACTGCAAACCACAAGGTTGGTGGTTCAAACCCACCAGCTGCTCCTTGGAAACCCTATAAAGGTCAACATCAATTAACAAGAAAAACATTATTTGACTGAAGGATGACCACCAGGAATGGCTTCAGTGCCAAGTTCAAAGGTATCTTAGGGCAATAGTGTTGGGGATTCCTCTGATCTCTTATTAGTCCAAAAGGTCTGACCTTTTTTGTAAATTTGAGTTTCGCCTTATATTTTTCTCCCATGCTATCTGGGACTGTCTATTGTTGCCCTGGTCACAGGGATGGGTAGTGGCAGCCAGTTTTAATCTCAGGTTGGAAGAAGCTGTGGTTTGTGTGGGCTCTTAGTCCTGTGGATTGGTTTCCTCTTTGAGTCTTTGGTTTCCTTCCTTCTCTTTTGCGTCAAACAAGTAGAG